TTACCAAAACCACTGAAGACGTGCCTACCATGGGCATTAATAACACTAATTTTATTAATGAAAATGACTGCCAACATAGTCTTCTCTATACTAGGCATATTTAGTTGAGGGAACTGAAAAGCAGAAAGGTCATTAAACACAAAGGATTTGTACCCTGGCTTATTACATTCTGGGCTGAGCCGTTAGGTTTGATATCATTAAATATGATGTATCAGTAAATTATTTTGTGACTTACTAATATAATTGAATATAAAAAATTAACAGCAAGCATTATAAAGGCTAGAGAAACTTTTATATACTTACTGCAGCAAAAGCTAAAAAGACAGTTCAGTCCCATGAACCACTTTGTTGCTGATAAGAGTTATTTTTTTACTTATCAAGATTACAGGTTACTTAATGACTACCTATTAGGAATTTTTAAAAATTGAAGTATAGTTGATTTAAGTATTGTGTTAGTTTCAGGTATACAGCAAAGTGATTGTTATATATAATTTTTTTCAGATTATTTCCATCATAGGTTATTCAAAATATTGAATATAATTCCTTGGGCTATACAGTAAATCCTTATTGCTTTATTTTATCTATTTTATATATAGTAGTTTGTATCTGTTAATCCCATACTCTTAATTTATCCCTCCCTCCTTCCCTTCTCCCTTTGGTAACCATATGTTTTTTATAAATGCCTCCCTATTTAATGTGGAAATTCTTAGAGGGGCTTTATGCAGTTTCCTATGGTAGTTCATGGTTCAGATAAGAGCATCTAGGTTAAAAAGTGATTATGGCTACTATTTCCAGCATTTAATAAATGATTGGAAATTACCAGAATAATTTGATGAACAATTTGATTTGGAACTAATACCACTTGGCTAGCATTTTTATAACCTATAGGTTATTTTATTTTTAAAATGCTTTCTAAAATTTTTATTCTTGTTAGTTTATATTACTATTAAATGTTTAATATTTTTGAATACCACACTTCACTATATATAACAGCTGCCTCATGCCTGTTTTTTTCAAACACACAAGGAAGAGTTAAAAATTTTTGTCTTACCAGGCCATATATTTCAAAAGATTATCAAATAGTTTCTCAGTACACTGTGATTGCTAGAAATTAATAACAAAAAGATAACTAGAAAAACCTCATGTATTTTCAAGTTAACAAACATTTATAAATGACTCATAGGCCAAAGGAGAAATGATAATGGAAATTAGAAATATTTAGAACTAAATATAATGAAGGTACCACATGTCTCAAAAGTTGTGTGATATAAGTAAATCAGCACTTAGTAGAAAAATTCTAGTTTTTAATAAACCAGAAAGGAAGACAAACTTAATTACCTAAGTATCCATCTCAAGAACGAGTAAAAGAATAGTGAAGTTACAACAAAGTAAATCTGAAGAAAGCAGAAGGAAGGAAATACAGCCTTAAAGAGTAAAATTAGTGAAGTTCTAAAACTTCAGTAAAAATACTCAACAGATTTATCTTTGAAAAGATAAAAATAAAAAACATTCATTAGATTGATCAAGAGAATACTCAAATAGACAATATTCAAAATAAAAGGGGGACATAAGTTCAGATGCAAGAAGTAAAGATTGTACCTCTCCAGAAGTAGCGGAGTAGGTGATTTTGACCAGCCCTCCAACTGAAAGTAATTAGAAAAGCTAGAGAAAATATAAATATCTAATGTAAGATGTAAAAAAAAATTTGTTTGAAGGGATAGGATAATTGAGGCTATGAGGAAATTGCAGGGCTAAGATCTGCAGAAGGAGGGAGGCCAGAGATAATGAACCTTTCATTTTAGCCAACTGAATCTAGGAATCTGGTAGAAATGAAAGGTTGATTTGAGATTAGAAAATAAATGGATGTAAATCACTTCATTAACATTGAATGAAAAATACAGGATAATTTCAATAAATGTTAGGAAATGTTTTATATATTTTATTTTAATGGAAAAAAAACTTAGCAAGTTTGAAGTAGAAGAGAACTTTCTTAATCCAATAGTAGGAATCTACCAAAAAAACTACAGTAAACATTGTGCTTAACAATGAAATGGTAGATGTATTCTTGAAGATCAGGAACAAGATAAGAATGCCTGCTATATTAACATTTCTATTCAGCGTTGTACTGAAAGTCCTAGCCGGTGCAGCAGAGGACAAAAAGTTTTTAAAAAGAACAAAGCAATTGTTTGTAGATAACATTATCGACAAAGAAAATCAAAAATAACCTACAGATAAAGTAAATAGCAAGATTGATGGATAAATATTTAAAAAGTCAGTTGCCCTTCTGTACACCAGCAACAAATGAAATAAATTTTTTAAAAACATTTACAAAAGCATGAAAAAAAATCCCAAGTACCCAAGAATAAATCAAACAAAAGACAAGCATGACCTATGTGGAGAAAATCTCCATTGTAAATGGAGATATGTAATGTTCAAGGATTGAAAGACTCCATATTGTAAAGATGTCAATTCTATGCAAACTTTTCTATAGCTCTATTACAGTCTCAAAATCCACAGGTGGCTCTATGTGTGTGTGTGTGTGTGTATACATAACTTGTTAAGTTGATTATAAATGTATAAGGATGTTTAAAGGTCCAAGGGTTGTTACAATACTCTAAGAAAATCTTGAATATGTGGGAAAGTATGCATATTACTGTTGGAATGATTCAATATTGTATGATATAAATTCTACCAAATTAATTTGCAAAGTCACTGCATCCCAATAAAAAATACCAACAAGATTTTTAATAGGACCTGATAATGCTGTATCTAAAATTCATTTGGAAGAGAAAGTATGATATTAGTACCCCCAAAAAATGTTTATAGAGGAGTGAGGGGATCTCACTTTGCCACATGTCAAACCTTTTAGAAATTAAAATAGTGTAGTTGTATTACAGAGAAAAAAATATGAGTCCCCCCAAAAAACTTATATATGATAAAGATGGCATTTCAAACCAACGTGAACAGTGTAGTCTTTGATACTGGCATAAATGATAGCCATTTTAAAACGTTACAGATCATGCCATGTACAAAAATAGATTGTAATTGTATTAAATTTTTAAAAAAGCCTATCAGTCTTATAGGTCTCTTGTTGACAGTGTTTAAGATTGAGTCTCCCAGAATCACTGATTCATTTACTTTTATGCACAAAAAGGAGAAAAGTTCATTTCATAACTTTTCTGAGAGACAGAAATAATAAATATATTTTCTAAAATTACATATATTAATTTGAATATCTTCACTCACGATAGTCAACACAAAAATCCTTCAGATATTAAATTTTTGAAGTCCAGATATCTCACAAAAGTGTTTATGCAGATACCCTTTAAAGGATAATTTCATGATTACTAAATATGGAAAGGATTTCAGTTCACTAGATTTTTTCCTTCCCTGCGTTATTATTTTTTTAATTGAAGTATAGTCGAAGTATAGTGAGTATAGTCAGCTATAATGTGTCAATTTCTGGTGTACAGCATAATGTACATAATGCACAATGTGTATATACACACACACACACACACACACACACACACATATTTGTATTCATATTCTTTTTCATTAATATTACAAGATATTGACTATAGCTCCCTGTCGCACTTTATCTTAAAACTTTGTTCTGAATAGAAAAGTTTGGCTATTTAAAATTCTATCTTATGCACTTTCATCTTAAAGTGTAAAAATCCCTATAAATTGGGAAGACCTACAGTTTTAAAGACTCAGCATTTCATTTGCTAGATATGAATTTGAAAGATCAGTGCCCACAGAAAACTAACACTTAACAAAATAAATAAAAGACAACAGATTTTCAGAAATCAAAATTGAATTTGTAAAAGGTTTATAAAAATATAGCCCCTTTTTGTAACAATTTATCAAACATTACCTTTGGTGATTGACCCCTTTTAATAGATTTCCTCAGCCTTTTGTAATGGGAGCATTGAGAGGCATTGGAAATGGTAAAAATATAATCACAGAGTGTTCTCACTGGTGCTCTCTCCCAGGAATTTTCTTTTATTAATTGTTCTTGAACTAATTTTCAACTCTGTAAGTTGTAGAAAAATGATAGTAATGTCTGTGGTCATCGCGGGGGATGAGTGATTGTCAGTGATTGCCTCTGGCTATTGACCAGTTTTGCATGATTTCAGCAAATTCATTTCAACATTCTTGATTGCCTGTATACGTGTCTGTTCTTTGAATTCTCCTTGGAGTCAGTTATTAAATCTTACTGGCTCCCTCACCATTTAATTTAATTGAATAAAAGTTTTGATACTTGTTCACATTAAATATATATATAAACACTTCATAATAGGGAAGTTCTGAAACAAGAGACAAAACTAAAAATCCATAAAGGAAAAGATTGCTTGACTATATATAGCCGATTTAGTAGGATATACTCTAGACCTCTTCCAAGCATTTTAATAGATACTGATGAAGAAATACGTAATTTTGTTGCATATGATTTTTTTCCTAAGTTGCCTCATCTATGCATGTTTTTCTGCAACCAGCTTTTCTCATTTAAAAATATGTTTTAGAGTTCTTCATATCCATATAACATCCCTTTCTTTTTAAATGTACCATATTGCAATGTATTATATACTATATAATGTCATTCCTTCTTTCATGTACATTTAGGTTACTTTTAGTTTCTCCTTAAAATGAAGCATCTCTTTATATATGCTTCTTTGTATTTAGAAATGATTATTTCTCTAGATTGAATTCCCAGAAAAAAATTGCTGAGTTGAAAGATAGGCATGTTTAAATTTTGATAGATAATGGTACTCTTCAAACAAACCACACTGGCTTACCCTTCACCATAATGTATGAGAGTACCATTCCCTACTACTACTTCCTACAGCAAATAGTGTCGAACTTTTAAATATTTGTTACTAACATGGACAAAAGGAGGTTATTCATCTATAGCTTATGTAATTACAAATAGATAAATATCAATAACCAGAGAATGCTCAAAAACTAAATAAGAGAAATGTGTCATTTGCTTTCAGGTCAGTGCTGACAGTTGCTTGTGAACAGACTGAAGTTCTTCTTTTTGATCCTATATCTTCAAAGCACATAAAAACACTTTCTGAAGCTCATGAAGACTGTGTAAATAATATAAGGTTAGTATTATAGTGAAAAAGTGAACTTGATTAGTGTGACCCAAAATACTCTGTTTTGGAAGTTAGTGAAAATGTATAATGCCTTGTCCAGCAGTGCTAGATGATATACATTTTGAATTGTGAAAGTTATCCCTTTAATTACAAAACTTACCGTTAACCATTTTGGATTGGAATCTTCCTGAAATGCATTTTCACTTCCATATGATTTTACCTTTTCTCTTCATGTATTAGGGTCATCATTACGAACCTCAGCCATGTATCATGATAATCCTGTAATACCTTTGGGCTAATAATCTGTATAGAATTATGGCCATCCCATTGCTTAGCCTCCTTCACCACTGGCCCTCAAATCCAAACTATTGAGGGGAAAAAACACATATGCATAGAAAACTTCTTTATAGCATTGTTAGAAGCTCCTTAAGTTCTCAATAATGTGGGAAGTAAGTAACAGTTGAACAGCTTGGTGGACTAATATGCAGTCATTAAAACGATGGTCACAGAGACTACATATCAACATGAACAAATGCTTGGGATAATACAGGTGAAAATCATGATAAAAATTGTATAAATATGATGCAGAAGAAAAAGCTTAGAAGGAAACATTTTAAAATGCTAACAGTGAACAAGTTAGAATGGATGGATTATTAGTAATCTTCTATTTTCTAAATTTTATGTAATGAGATTATATTTTATAGTGATTACTTTTAATGTTCAAAAAAAAGAAATAAGGAAATTTCTTCTAGTCAAGATGACATACTGAATTTTGATATAATCTCTATGCCCCAAACATATAGAACAATAGATTAAATAGCACAAAAAAATATATCTAGGCTCTGAAACAACATAAACATCTTTATGGGCCAGACCAGAACACGGACACAAAGCTATTAGTGTTGAAACCACAAGCCCTCTAGGTTTTCAGTCTGGCACTGCCATGTGGTAGTTTAGCTTCTGTCAGGAATCAAAAATGCTAAGTGTTTCATGTGAGGCAGGAACCAGAGCCCAAATTACTACATGAAGCCAGGGATTTGGTTGGAATGTCTGTCTCACTTGTGAAAGGCTAAAAAAAGGAAAAAGCCATTAATTACCTGGGGATATAGGTTTTAGCTGATGCACAGCCTCATGACCAGGAATTGAATGAAGCCATTGCTGAGTCAGTGATTGAATGTATGTATGTGATAGCTCCAATATCATCATGAAACTGGAGGCCTTAATGTCATTAAAAGATCTAGTAGTGGATTAGAGGTCCAGAAATCAAAATGAGGGCAACCATAAACTCATAAATAGGAAAAGAGAAAGAGAAATTAAAAATCTTTCTTACTCAAAGTAAGCCTATAACCAAAATTTCCAAACTCATGAAGACATCTGATATTAATATCATAACAAAATCAGTAACTAGAATAGGTATTTTCTCTGGATGAAATTAATTTTATGGAGTAGTCCAACAAAGACTTTATTTTTAAAAATGAATTCTTTTATTTATTTTTTTTGACTAGGTAATACATGCACGTGGTACAAAATTCAAAGGTACAAAAGGGTAAACAGTGAAAAGTAAGTCTATCTCCCACCTCTGTCCCCTAGCCACCCAGTTCCCCTCCCCAGAGGCAACCACTATTACCAGTTTCTTACTATCCTGAGATAGTTTATGCATGTACAAGCATATATACACATATACATACACTTTTATATAAATGGTAGCATTCTACACATATGCCTTGACCTTTTCACTTAATGACATATTTAGAGATTGTTCCATATTCATACCCATGGGATAATTTTATTCTTTTTAACGGCTGCATAGTATTCCATTGATTGGAAGAAACTTTAAAGCATTTTTAGGCTGCTCAAAGAAATAAGGGATACTTTCCATTTATAGAGAGCTTAAAATTATGAAACAAAAGAGATGGAAACAAGAATAGGTTATTGTAGAAAAGAACTAGAACTCTTGTAAATTAAAAATGTAGTTGGTATATTAAAAAAAATTAAGATGGGATGAATATTACTCATTACACCATTGATGAGAGAATGGGTTGGAAAATATTACTAAAAAAATTACCCAGAGATTAACTGAGATACAGAAAAAAGAAGTGCAGAGATTGGAGGAGAACTAAATTTTAAAGACACAAAGTTTGAGAATTTTTAGCATTGAAGAAGGACCTGAATCTTTGAATCGAAAGTAAACTCTAGAATGTCCTATGGGTTAAACAAAGATAAATCCACATCTAGACAGGTTGTGATGAAACTCTAGAATATCAAAGATAAAGAGAAAATCTTAAAAGCTACCAAAGTTAGAAGCCAGATTACTTACAGAGGGATGATAATTAAAGTAACAGATTTCTTATCAACAACAGTTGATGTTAGGAGAAAATGGAGTAATATCTTAAATACTAAGGTAAAGTAATGTTCAGTACCATTTCATATCCAGGTAAATTGTTATTCTAAAATAAAGAATTTTAATTAGGTGAAATGGTAAATGTTATAGCAGAAAGATAATAATTTAGAATTTTTGGCGGGGAGGGTGCATTTAAAACAAAGTTAAGATGAAAACTCTAGCACTATCCAATATAATTATGATTTAAAATTTTAAATTTGCTAGTAGTCACATTAAAAAAAGAAACACATCAAATTAATTTTTAATAATATATTTTATTTACTCCAGTATGTCTAAAATGTTATCATTTCAACATGTAATGAATATAAAAATATTGAAATATTTTACTTTCATTTTTTTCACGCTAAATCTTCAAAATCCAGTGTGTATTTTACACTTAGAGCACATTTCTATGCAAACTGGCCAAATATTAAGGATTTGAAAGCCACATGTGGCTAATGGTTACCAAACTACACAGTGTAGCTCTGGATAGTAACAACAAATAGGTTGTACCTATGGGGGAGTTTTGTTCAATGAAAAGGTGTAACATTTAAGGTCCATATCATGTTCAGGGAGAGAATAGAAATATTAAGTAATTTCAGACTCTTTCAGAACAATGTATAATAAATATATATGATGAAAAAAAACTGAAGTAAAATAGGTGGGAGGGTATAGCTCAGTGGCAGACTGTGTGCTTCTTAGCATGCATGAGGTCCTGGATTCAATCTCCAATACCTTCATTAAAAAAAAATTAACCTAATTACCCCCCCAAAAAAATTCTCACTAAAATAAAATAATAAAAATACAGTTTATAGCTTCCACATTAGCAAAGCAGGGGGCGGGTGTGTGTGATAAGAGAATACTGAAAACTTGATTAATGGGAAAGCTTAAAAAATTTAAAAAGCAAAAGAAAGGGATGATAAACAGAAAACAAGAAGTAGAAATAGTTCCAAATATATTAATAGTTCACAGTATAAATGGATTGATCTTTATTAAAAGACACAGAGATGACAATTTGAATAAAAAACAAAAATCACCTATATACTCTTTATAGAGTATAGCAAAAATAAAACTACCTAGAAATGGGAAAAGAAAACTGATGTAGATTATCATTACTGGATAGATGGAAGACCAAAGGCTTTAATAAGGATAAAGTACAATAGTACATATTAATAAAGGAAAAACCCACCAAGAAAATATAATCTTGAACTTGTATGCAACTTGAAATATATAAAGCAAGAAGAGACTAATAAGGAATTACATGTCTATAATCATAGTAAGAGATTTTAATACATTTCTGTCCAAAACTGGTAAATCAAGCAGATAAAAATTAGGCTGTAGAAGATATTAAAATATCTTGAACAACCTTTCTACTAAAAATAGAAATGGTGGATAAATTTTAAAAAGTTTTTTTAATCTATAGTTGAGCTGATAGAAACGAATCAATCCTAGGGGCAAAAATGAAGTGGAAGCAGGAATGCAAAGAAGTAAACATGTACTCAGCTGGCTTTACCCTGGAGGCATCTGCCAAATGCTGGTGACTCTTGAGTTTGTTTTGACAGGTATAGGGAGTACAAAGAACAGGAGAGTTAATTCTAGTGAGGAAAAGTCTAGTAAAAACTCTGAATAAGGCTGAGGACTCCAGAGGGCTGTACTTTCAGCATAAAGATGATCTAGTAATAAACTACCTTGTTCATCTAGACTGGCATTGGATAGAGGGATGTCAGAAAATCTCTGAATTACCAACCACAAGCCAGCCTTCATGCAGCTTCACACTACCATATGGTCCAAAACCCTCCAGCCAGCAATTTTAAGTTAGATCCAGGTTGGTAGTGCTGCCAGGTACCTGCAAAAACAAATGCAAATCTTCCCTGAGAGGAGAAACCTCAGTATTATAAAGAAGTCAGTTCTTCCCAAATTAGTCTATGAATTTAGTGTAGTTTTTATCAGAATACCAACAGTTTTTTTAAAAACTTGATTTTAAAATTCATATAGAACAGCAAAGTGCCAAGAATATCTGAGACAATTTTGAAGATGACTAAGGAGATAGGAGTACTCACTTATCCAGATACCAAATATAGTCTTAGGACAGGGATAGATTAAGTGACTGATAGAATGGAATAGAGCTTCCAGAAACAGATCCATGCATGTATGAAAATTTGCTATATGACAGCAAGGGCATTACAAACCAGTGCAGAGAAATGGAAAAGAGAATTGGTTCTATGTATATGAAAAAAGAAAAGAAAATCAGATTTCTGTCTCATACCATAGCTAAAAATAACTGCCAGTTAAAGACCTAATTATTAAAGCAAATCTTTAAAGTTTTAGAAGAAAGAGAATATATTTATGTTCTAAGTATGAGAAAGGATTTTTTAAGACGCGAAAAGTATAAACCATTAAGAGTTGATAAGTTCAACGGCATTAAAATTTAAAACTTCATTGTAACTATAGACATAACAGTGTGAGAAGATAAGCTATAGACTGGTGGGAGAAGACCATTTCAATGCTCATAGCCAAAAAAAGAATTCGTATCCAGAATATATAAAACAATTACCCTGGAGCAAAATAGGCAGAGAGTTACATAAGAGAAACTAAAATGAGCAATAAATATGGAAAGATTTTTCAAGCT